AGGAGGCCTGTGTCGTATTTAGGCCAACTCTAATGATTTCAACTTTAATGATTTTTCAATGACAATGTTCTTCAGTCAAACTGCCTAGATTAATACTGGAAAAGTAAAAATATGAAGTTTATGATATTTATTAAGAACTAGCGATCCGCCCCTGCTACGCACGGGTAATTTCTGGATCTCGACAATAGCGCCGCCTATCATCTTATATCAATTGAGATTTTAAACCAATCAAAAAAATTCTACAGTTTATATTTTATTATTCAATATAGCCCGAACTGTAATTAATATTTTTGTTTTTACTTTCATTATAGCGCTTTCGCAATCCCCTTAGTGAGTGAAATTTCGTAAAATTCGTTCTCAGTTGAACTCAAGATGACAAAAATAATAATTTGGCTAAATTTTAAACCTGTATGAGCTATAGATTAAAAGTATGCCTATAACAGCTTTTATACGTGGTGGAGCCATGTTGCAGTTATATTAGTAGTATAGTTGTAGCACGAATGGGTCGGCTCGACCGGGGAAGGACCATGCTCTCACAGAATACCAGCGTAAAATAGTAGCTTAATGCTGCTGTGTTTCGTACGGTGAGTGTAGAGAACCGAAGACCCTTTTTACTGGAAACGAGGTATTCCCATCTTAGTCCTCAGTCCTCACGGGTGACAACGCAAAAATGCAGAGGATTTTGATTTGTAATCGTAGATGTCTATGGGCCACAGCAACCACTTACCATCAGGTGGACTGTGTGCGTTTGTCACCCTATCTTATAAAAAAAGTTTGAAAATGTGATTTAAAAAAAAATTAACGCCCCCGCAACCCCACTTGCGGGTGGAATTTCCTCGAGAGGTTAGCTAAGCTTAGCTAACCTCTACTCGGCGAAAGGAATATTGAGTACATAGGCGGAAAACTCATATATTAAAGAAGATAATTGAGATGATTGATTAGGATTCATGGCCAAGCTTTCTGATGCTGCGTAGGTACATGTTCCGTTTTCTGCAAGTGCAAATTCTATTTTAAAAATTTGATAAGCACACAAATGTATCTAGCTTAATTTTTTTTTAAAAATTTGGTTAAGATTCTTTTAGAAATATATTCTTTTTTAGACAAATAACACTTGCCACAGTGCTTTTTTGGATTTTCCTAGTGATTCCTAAAATTTGCACTTATTCTTTTTTTTTATAGGATTATTCTTCGTATAAGTTTGTCGTTGTATGGATGTACAGTCTTAATGAAATTATCTGTAGGCACTAAAGACTGATCTATGTTTATTTATTTACACTACTTACTACATATACGAGGGCGGCACTGAAAATTTCGGGAATCAAGGAAGTGACACAAAATTACTATTTAAAAATGTATTTATTGCTTTTCGAAGTATTCTCCGCGAAATTTGACACATTTTTCCATACGATGGAACCAATCATTGAAGCAACCATTCCATTCGGAAATTGGGGTCTCCAAAATGGCCGTTTTGTAGGCGTCCACAGCTTCATCAGGTGATGAAAATCTTTGTCCACGCAATTTATTCTTTATTTTAGGGAAAGTATAGAAATTTAGAGCTTAGGTCGGGGCTGTACGGCGGATAGTCTAATAATTCTATGTTTTCTTGCTCTAAAAACTCTTTTGTTCTGTGTGCGGTGTGAGAACTCGCATTGTCGTGATGGAGGATGATGCGGCGGTTGCAGTTCTCTTTACGGAGTTCAGAAACGACCTGTGGCAAACAAATGCTAGCATACCATTCTGAATTAACCGTTCTTTGTCCCTCAAGAGGAATAGTCGTAACAGTACCAGCTCCTTCCACTTGACTGCGTCCAGCGCAGAGCGGCTCGAATCGTCGACGACCGAGTGCTTTCCTGTCGGCTCGATTCACTGGCACTGCGAAGAGATGTTGCATCTCTTTGCATTTTCTTTCGCATATACCATGGAGAGTGCTCTGAGGAATTGTTCGGATTAATACCAGCCGCCAAATTTCGTGAACGCACTACGCGGCAAACGTCCCGATACCATCCACACCATCTGGATGCTTGGCAGTCCACCACTGTAGGTTTCAAAAGGAGTTTTCTTCCGCGTACAACCTCTCTGTGGAATAGTTTACCACCGGCGATTTTTCCGGACCGATACGACCTGGAGACCTTCAAGAAAAGAGCTTACTCCTTTCTAAAGGGCTGGCAACGCACCTGCAATTCCCCTGGTGTTGCGGTTGATCATGGGCGGCGGTAGTCACTTAACATCAGGTGAGCCGCATGATCGTTTGCCCCCTCTTCTATATAAAAAAAAACATGGCCGGTTTTGGAGACAAACGTGGCCACCATTTTTTTTTTGCAACACTCCGTGAACGAACAATTTTTGTTGGCTTTAACTCATTTTCGAACACCCAAACACGTGACTGGTTTTTTGTTTCGGGTTCGTACGCGTATATCCAGGATTCGTCACCTTATATGATGTTGTATACAGCATTTGAGAATCCTGCGTGGAATCTTTCGAGAGTTCTGACGCACCAAGTAACGCAAGCCGCTTTTTGCTCTTCACAGAGCGAATGCGATATCCATCGGGAAAACAACTTTTCACACCTAATTGTTCATGCAAGATTATTTGTATTTGACTCATGCCAATGTCTAAAGTTGCCTGAATTTCGCGGTGTCATATGTCGATCTTCCTCAATCAGCTTACGCAGAGCATCAACGTTTTCTTGGGTGACTGCAGTTTTTGGACGACCTTGACGGGGATCATCACTGAGCTTGACACGTCCACGTTGAAATTCAGCAAACCTGCGATAAATTGTGGTTTTGGATGGGACTTCATTACCAAATGCAGAAATCATCCGGTCAACACACTGTTTTTGTGTTAAACCACTTCGAAAGTCATAATAAATAATCGCTCTTGAATTTTCTCTAGTCAATTCCTTTTTCTCAACGACAAACAAGTTTGACAAAACCTTGTGACAAGACCGAGAATCTTTTTTTAAATAATAAATGGTATTCGATTTTTAAAACCAAGGAGTTTTCATTTAAAAAGATTTTAATATGACAGGAACAGTGGAAATATTCCATTCCCGATACTTTTAGTGCAGCCCTCGTACTACTACTAGATCAGTCAGGTAACGTACGTAAAACAAGTAGATATATGCGATACGGTTGTTTCTACTTATCATTATATCGGTAGCCCAGAAAATCTGCAACCTGCAATTTATAGGCTGTATATTTACGTCCCACTGCTACGCCTGTCTCTCATTTCTGAGAGGGTTATGGACCATTACGCCGCAGCGCTGCTGCAGGGCGTTTTAGCGAACTTCACATGTCTTAGAAATAATTTTTCTTCAGACATGCAGGTACCTTCACGATGTTTATATTCACCCGCGTGCACAGAGTAAATCTGTATTTAAAATTGCAATGAATTATTTCATTGGTGCGGGTGGGAATCGAAGACGGGTTGCTCGCGTACTGTGAAATTAACAGCGTCTATTGTAGTAATAATTGTAATGAGTACTATTTTCGAATATGTATTTCAAAATATATCCACGTTTTTAGCCTGTCGAGTTTTATTTTACTGTTTGTGAGGGTGTGTCATCTTTTCATATCATATAGATAACAAGTAATGACATTCGTCTCCAAACGAATTGTATTTGAGTATTTGACGCGTAATTGCATATCAAACATGATTAGGTTTAAATAAATAATTTGTATTTGTAGTTCATATTATTCGAACTAGTCATTAAAGGGGTAGTTGATAATAACGTTAAAACCAAACCGCACTGAGCTATTTGGGTATTAGATCAAAAAATACGAACATTATTATCGTCATCAACTTATAAATAATAAATTGAAAATTATATTGGAATTGAAAAATGGAACTGCTCTTTAAACATGATGGGCAAATGTATTTGCGATCATAGTATTAAAAATAGATAGTATTAAAAACGTATCTAAATCGTCTGACGGAATACCATTTCGGCATCTCGTATATATGCAAATGTGGAATAAACATATTGGCGACGTGTTGTAGTGTCAAAAATGTGATATACAATGATACGATATGATGCTACTCGCACTACAATTACCAATCCGCCTGCAAGAGAAGTGTTTTTTTTTTTAATAGAATAAGGGTGGCAAATGAACACAGTCCACTTGATGGTAAGTGCATGTTGTGGCCCAAAGATATCTGCATTTATCCTTAATTAAGAATCAAAATGCAGATGCGTTGTCATCCCTTAGAACTAAGATAGAATGCCTCGTTTCCAGTAAAAAGAGTCTTTGGTTCTCTATACTCACCATACGAAACATAGCAGCATTAAGCTGCTATTTATATATAAATAGAACTAAAATGGAATGCCTCACTGGAAACGAGGCATTCCATCTCAGTCCTCAGGGTTGGCAACGCATCTGCATTTTGATTCTTAATTGAAGATAAATGTAGATGTCTATGGCCCACAGCATCCACTTACCATCAAGTAGATGGTGTGCTCGTTTGTCCCCCTTACTGTATAAAAAATTACAGTGGTATTCTGTGAGAGCGTGATCCTACCCCGGTCGAGCCGACCCATTCGTGCTACAGCTATAATATAGCTGCAGCGTGGCTGTACCACGTGGTTGCGACAAATCTCACAATTATATAAGAGGTCCATATACTGCTGTGGACTGTCACGGACTGGTAAAGAAGAACAAATTGTTACATAGTAATAAATTGTAAAGAGACGTGGTAGCTACGCGAGTAAGCCGGGTTCGATTCCCGCCAGCACCAATGAAATTGTCAATTGTAACTCTAAGTGCTGATTTACCACGTGCACAGCACTTGCGATGCAGGAAAACATCGTGACGAAGCAATATTTAGAAAACTGAAACTCGCCAACATGCATTGGGGCAGCGTGGCTGACATTTACTTGCCCTAATCCCCTTTCAGAAATAAGAGGAGGCCTGTGCCTAACAGCGGGACGTATGTAGGCTGTAACTAACTAGCTTTTTTTAATACATTGTTATTAATAATCTGTATTTTAATTTTATTTACAGATTGGACGCAACGTCTACCGAGCGACTCCCACACCCACGAACACTATCTTTGAATGTAGAGTTCTCTCCCGACATCACGCCACGCTCTATTATGATAAAGGACACTTTTATCTCGTGGTAAGTCTTATTAGCTAAAAGCAGTCAATATTTTTAGATTCAATAAATTATAAAAAAATAGATAGTTGCTGGTATCATGGAAAGTTTTGTTTAATCTATGATCTGTTCATAGATATTGGTAACCGCAGATATCTCTTAGATACTGCTTACTCGTCAATTTTCGGAGGATTGATTTTACTAGTTATCCATTGGTAACCAGCTAAAGTCCGTGTAGTGGCGAGTAAGAATACCCACTACCCCATATATTTCCGTGGGTGTCTGAGGCAGAAGATGGGCAGCAGCATCTTTCTGATAACAGCAAAAAGCAATAAAAAACTGCAGTTGCCAACCCGCTCGCCAAGCGTGGCCACTATAGCATTATACCCCCTATGAGCAACGACATAAATAAACGGCCCCCAGTCCCAGGCGGCCCCGCTATTGCTGGCTGCGGTGGCGACCATAGTAACGGCGGGGCAGAAGGTGCTTAGAATCTCCGGTGGAGGTTCGGCAGCCACCTAAGACGACTCGACCTGGCGACATATAACGCACGCACCCTGAGGACTGACGAGATGATCCTGGAGCTGGAAGAAGAGATAGACAAGTTGCGCAGGGTTATTATCTGAGAACCGAAGAGAGGGGGAGGACGGGGTAATCCTCGAATCTGGCAACTTGTACTACCACCGGGAGGGCGACCATCTGTCCTAAGGAGGTGTTGGATTTATCGTCCACAAGTCTTTTGTTAACAACGTTGTAAAGATACTCAGAATCACCAAACGGTATTATCTTAAAGTCATACAGGTTTACGCACCAGCTTCGGCACATACCGATGTGGTGGTGAGGAGGTGGAGGAAATGTATGAGGATGTCTCTGGAGCCATGCATTCCTCCAAAACCCACTATACGGTGTTAATGGGAGACTTCAATGCAAAGCTACTGGATTGGAAAGGATACGGTATTAACGTAAATGGCGAATACATCACTCACTTTCGATTTGCCGACGATATAGTCTTTATGGCAGAATCGCTGGAGGATCTAACCTAAGCTCTATGCTCACATGACTCATATGACCTCAATAGTGTCTCCTAACGGATAGATCTTAAGATGAACATAGAATACAAAAGTCACGTGTAATGTCCTTGACACATGTATGTGCTATGCTGGTAGTTGTTGTTGGGAGCACTAAGCTCGAAGTTTTTGACGAGTATGTTTACTTTGGACAAATAGTCCGACTAGGTAAGTCCAACTTCGACTGAGAGGTCAATCGATGGATTCAACACGGCTGGGCAGCGTTCGGGAGATTACGATACAACTGAGCTTCTCGTCAGACATAACTCAAAACTAGATTGTACAACCAGTGCGTGTTGTCAATGATGACCTATGGATTTGAGACGTGGTACTTCACTGCTGGCCATATGAGGAAGCTCAAAATTGATCAGCAAGTTATGGGGAGGGCTATGCTTGGGGTTTCTCTTGGTGATAAACTTAGGAATGAGGCTATCCGCAGTAAAACCGGAGTGACCGACGTAGGCCAACGGATTAGTAAGCTGAAGTGGCAATGGGCCAGCCACATAGCTTGAAGAACCGACAACCGATGGGGAAGAAAGTTTCTCGAGTGGCAGCCTCGTACCGGCAGGCGAAGTGTAGGGAGTTCCACCACTAGATGGAGTGACGACCTGGTAAGACATGCAGGAAGTCGATGGATGCTGGTGGCTCAGGACCGTGCTTTGTGGCATACCTTGAGGGAGACCTATGTTCATCAGTGGCCTTGAGGGATGTAATGATGTTGATAACCAGTTAAAAAAAGAACGAAAACCACGTCGAATAATCACTTTCTTTAGATAAGTAATAGACTTGGCTGATATTTTGATTACTAGAGTAAACTTACACAGCAGTTCTATAGAAATTTCAGTCAGACTCGATGATAAATTTGAATGGATTTTAATTTTGTCAATTATCATTATTTTTAATTTATTACAGCCTAAGCTCGTAAGTTGCTGAAACGAAAGTAGTCCTCTTCCATAGACACGTAGATATATTTACCGGCGCTGGAGTTGTCAACCGATTTTTTTTATTTTGAGTTGTTATCAGGCTGATGTTTTTCACGTCATGCCCATCTGTTTTATTTCCCTCCGTCGCCTCTTACGACACTCACGGGATGATAATATGGGGTAATGGATACTCTTACGCCGCCACTCACTCACGGAATGATAACACGCCGTAGTGGATACTCTTACGCCGCCACTTTTTTAAATAACCCTAGTGTAAATTTTAGTTTACAATTAAATGTTCACGTAATTAAATTAAGGAATCCTTTATTACAAGAGTGTAAGCTATATGGATAGCTTGTAATCAATTAAGCTCTCGGATCAAGTTCTGGCTTTTGCGAATTTGTACTGTTTACGTTTATAAGGTTTCGTATTAAAACCCTATCTTTACTTTAACGTGTAAACAGGGTTACTATCCCTTATTGTGATCAATTTCAATGTGAGTTGATAAATAAACCATGAGGTGTCGTTCTGGTACAATCCGACCACTACAAAAATGCAATTTGCCCAATTTTTTCATCAGAATTCGTACTAAATTGCTATTTGCCTAATTATTTGCCCTATTTTTCATCAGAATTTATAAGTGGTAGAGTAACGCTACAGCTATATTATGGTTGTAGCACGAATTTGTCGGCTCGACCGGGGAAGGGAACCACGCTCTCACAGAATACCAGCGTAAAATAGCAGCTTAATGCTGCTGTGTTTCGTCTGGTGAGTGTAGAGAAACTGAGACCCGTTTTACTGAAATCGAGGCATTCCATCTTAGTCCTCAGGGGTGACAACGCACCTTCATTATAATTCTTAATCGAGGTTAAATGTAGATATCTATGGGCCACAGCATCCACTTACCATCAGGTGGACTATGTGCTCGTTTGTCACCCTTATTCTATATAAAAAAAAACTAAATATAGGAAAAGGCGCACGCCTTATAAGTTTTTACTATTTAGCCTGTTTTATAAAATGAATTTTATTTCAAACATTTCTTTTCTTTATTTTAAAACTTTCGGATATACCAATGTAAATTTGGTGCTTAAGTAAATTTATTTTGTCGTATAATGTGGTGAATTTAAATTTATAGCTGTTCGTATTTTTCACTTCCTTCCAAAATAAAGGAGAAGGAAAAGGTTCTATATTTGATGCGTATGTTTTGTTTTTTATGTATACCAATTTCTCGGAAACTGCTCAACCGATTTAAATGATTCTTTTTTTATTATATAGGTTAAATTTTAGAGGTAGTTTCATATAAATTTAAAGGAAAACTTCCGTCATTATGGTTTGACAAAAATTGGGAAATAAGATTTTAATGTAACTATTTAGACATTCCAGTTGCTACTTATTAAAGTCGGTTTTTAGGTTTTATTAAAGTTTTAGTAAATTTTAACTGTTATTAACTTTTTGGGTATGGCTCCATAAATTCTTATAATATGCTTGTTTTTGAGAAATTTAAAATAATATGTGTCTTTTGCTTTTCACATGTCATGTGAGACAACTTAAGATTAAAATGATCTTTTTGTAACTTTATGTGAACATTGGCTCTAAGTTTTAAGCAAAGTAAATTTACTCTAGTAAAAAGTAACATTATTGCCAAATGTACGTCGTTTTTTGAAGATGTTTACGTTGTTAACAGAAGGGTTTTAGAGCTTCATCGGACCGAATACACTTTGTAAAACTCTTTAGTTATGAGTAAAGTACCCTAGCATGTAAATTTGTCTACATTGCCAAATGCACGTTACCACACTTGCAGTTGGCAGTCTACAAAAGAAATGCTAGTACGTTAAAAGTTCTAATGACGACGCTTTCATCACGTGTTACTATTATGAAAGAACCTAATTGGTTTATTTATGTTTAGGTTCGTAACGCGTCCACTCTCACTTGTTACGTTACGCCCACTTGCAATTTACATTATCGAAAACGCGTGGTTGAGTGTCCTCATTTTGAAGTTATTGGCATGTTTGACAGATTTTCTCTTGCCCTAAATACTTAATGCCCGTTATTTGGATTTAACATGATGTTGAAGTGATAGCACTTATTGGTTTTCTTATTATTTAAATTATTTACTATCATAGGATACTACAATAAATACATAATAGGACGGGGGAGTAGGCGGAGCCCGTGTAGCCACTAACATGTCAATTCACACCTATGAATGTCAAACACAATCAATCGTTTTCATTTTTCTTGTCAAGCGTCGCTGCATGCAAATTATTTAAAAAAATGGCAAATTGTGCAATAATTACGTGTCGAAAGAACAGCGGGAAATGGAATTTAAATAAAGGAGACATATCCTACAAAACTTTTTATATTTTCTAAATATTAGAAACAAAAATAAAGAAATATTGATGTGTCAAAACATTAATCAAAAGTGTAAAATGGCTAAGTCTGTCAATACAGCGAATCGGGTTTGTAGTAATGATAATACTACGTAATTGCTTGTATGTGTGCTCCCGGCGACACTGATCCTCGTACAAAATAAGGTTGACTGCTATTCTATTGTGTATTATAGCATTCTATGTTTATTATGATAACCGTATTGGTTTAGAATAATTGTCTAATAAAATGATGGTCTTGGATTCAAACCACAGCCGTAGTAAGTTTTGTAAAAACGCTTATTGTTAATTTTTTTTTTGCGCCCGAAGCAGTTAAAGGGCTACCCTATACGTAGGGAGGCGGAAAATGCATTACGCATACCACGATAGCCGGTCTATCGTGGTTATGAGGGGCTCACTGTCCTACCGGGGACCCTAAGTGATACCCTCTAAAAACCGCCTTTGGGGACAGGCAGCCGGCTGATCAAGCTGTATTGTGCCTTATCATGAGCCGACCTTCTTTTGGGAAAAGAGGGCGCAGGCGGCTAAGTGCCGCTGAGGCAGTGCCTACAAAGGCAAATTAATGTTAGTTATTACAATAATTTAATTTAATTAGAGTTGGCCTGAGCCGCCAGGAGACAGTTCAGGTCGTTTGACAGTTTATTAGGCGG